CACCCTGACATTGTTTTATGATAACATATTTTGATTATTGACACTTTGGTTTTGGACATGAGATGTTATTATGGTTGTTTTCTTATACTGTTGGTTTTATAATAACTTAATTAAAAATGAAATTTTTGGTCTTGAATTTTGGGATGTTATAAATACAATATTATTCAAACATATGATTGAAATTAAAATTACATTGGCATTGGGATGTTACAAACTAAAGGTCTGATTTTTATTTTTATTTTTTTTTACAATGTTTAACCATCTACAAATATACATGTAGAAGGCCAAAGAAAAAAAAAGGAAAAATGAGTCGTGATGAAACTCATACCCATGGTAAAAGTTTTAATTGGAAGGAACTAAAATGTGAACTTTAGCAAGTGTCACAATAAATTCCGTAACTCATGGAATTGCAGGGCAATTGGTACAAAATGAAGTTGTTAGGGGAATAAGAAAGATAAAGGCAAAGGATGTATATGTTTGTGATTTGTGTTGGTTAATGTTTGGTTGAATTTGATATTTGGTTTGTAATGGTATGTTGGTTAGAAATTGCAATGATGTTTTGGTTTAGACAATGGCATTAGTACAATACTAACAATTAACATTTACTTGTAATGGGGTTTGCCTAGATTTTTGTAGCATACTATTTAAATATGAATATGTAATGTGGTTTGTGAATTGCAATATGTTTATGCATGTGTTGCTTTCATTTCAAATGTTTTTAAAGTTAATCATTAGTAAGATATTACACTGTTAGATTATATAGAAATTTATCATCATTAGATAAACTTTTATACCATTAAAAATCTTAAGCATTACATCCACTTCAAAAGATTATTACACCAAAGTTGTAATGTAGTTAGAAGTTCAACAAAAAACTACACTAAAAGATTACTACACCAAAGTTGTAATGTAGTTAGAAGTTCAAAAAAAAAAAAAAAAAAAAAAGCTACATCTTTAACATTGAGACCAAGCGATAAAATTTCTCCCTTTAAACCTTAGAATATCAATTTTTATGTATATACGAAATGTAGAACCTCCAACTAAAAAATAAAAACGGTTTCAACTTCTTTGCTTCTTCACATCTTTTCTTTAGTGAGTCTTCATTGTTGGTGGGTCAACAAATTAAATCCATCAACCTACAACACATAAGTGGCTCAACCCACCTAATAAATTTGCATATTGATCCGAAGTTCGAACAATACCACAACACCAAAACTTCATGTGTGGTTTAGACCATTATGTTAGAATAATACTTGGGCTTCCACATGACCAGATAACCATCTTATCGATCGGACTTTTTGGTCATGTGTAGAACGTTAATGGAGAAGAAGGTAAATAAAGACATAGTGTGCTAGAGGTTAAAGAGGAGGGAGGGGTGAAGGTGAACATTATTGAACCCAAAGGAGATAGAACCCAAAAAAACAAGAAAAGTGTGGACCACAAACTACTGATTTCAAATCGAAAACCCATAAAGTCAAACAGTAAAACCAACCTATGCAAAAGTTGTGGGTTTTAACAAAAAAAAACAGAAAACAGTAGACCCAAAAACTCACGATTAAAAATCGAAAACCCACAAACTCAAACTAAAAAACCAACCTATGTAAAAACCGTGAGTTTGAACCAAAAAACTAGAAAATAGTGGTCCCAAAAACTCACGGTTTCAAACCGAAAACCCATAAACTCAAAACGAAAAACCAACTTATGCAAAAACTATGGGTTTGAACCAAAAAACTAGAAAACCCTAGACCCAAAAACTCGCGTTTTAAAACCAAAAACTCATAAAATCAAACCGAAAACCAACCTATGCAAAAACCTTAGGTTTAAACCAAAAAAATATAAAAAACCGTGGACCTAAAAATCATGGTTTCAAACCGAAAACCCATAAAGTCAAACCGAAAAACCAACCTATGCAAAAACCGTGGGTTTGAACCAAAAACCTAGAAAATTGTGGACCAAAAAGCTCACGGTTTCAAACCGCAAACCTATAAATTCAAACCAAAAAATCAGCCTATGCAAAAACCATGTGCTTGAACCAAAAAACTAGAAAACCGTGGACCAAAAAACACACGGTTTCAAACCGAAAACCCATAAATTCAAACCGAAAAACCAAGCTATGTAAAAACCGTGCGTTTGAACCAAAAAACTAAAAAACCGTTGACCGAAACTTACGGTTTCAAATCGAAAACCCATAAATTCAAATCGAAAAACCAACTTATGCAAAACCGTGGGTTTGAAAAAAAAAACTAGAAAACCATCAACCCAAAACTTACGGTTTCAAACTGAAAATCCATAAACTCAAACTGAAAAACCAACATATGCAAAAACCGAAGGTTGAACCAAAAAAAACTAGAAAATTGTGGACCAACCTATGCAAAACTCATTTGTTTGAACCAAAAAACTAGAAAACCAAGGACCCAAAAACTCACGATTTCAAACCAAACACCCATAAACTCAAACCAAAAAACAAACCTATACAAAAATCGTGGATTTAAACCAAAAAACTAGAAAACCGTGGACCCAAAAACTCAAGGTTCCAAACCGAAAATGCATAAACTCAAACCGAAAAACCAACCTATGCAAAACCGTGGGTTTGAACCAAAAAACTAGAAAACCGCGGAACCAAAAACTCATGGTTTCAAACAGAAAACCCATAAACTTAAACTGAAAAATCAACATATGCGAAAACCATGGGTTTGGACCAAAAAACTATTAAACTTTGGACCCAAAAACTCACAGTTTCAAATCGAAAAACCAACCTATGCAAAGACCATGGGTTTGGACAAAAAAACTAGAAAACTATGGAGCCAAAAGCTTACGGTTTCAAACCGAAAACAGATAAACTCAAACTGAAAAAACAACCTATGCAAAAACCGTGGGTTTGAACAAAAAAACTAGAAAACCGTGAACCCAAAAACTCACGGTTTCAAACCGAATACCCAAAAACTCAAACCAAAAAAACAACCTATGCAAAAAACCGTGGGTTTGAACAAAAAAACTAGAAAACCGTGGACCCAAAATCTTACGGTTTTAAACCGAAAACCCATAAACTCAAATTGAAAAGCTAACATATGCAAAAACTGTGGGTTTGAACAAAAAAACTAGAAAACCGTGGAACCAAAAACTAACGGTTTCAAACCGAAAAACAACTTATGCGAAAACCGTGAGATTGAACCAAAAAACAAGAAAACTATGGACCAAAAAACTTATAGTTTCAAACCGAAAACTCATAAACTCAAAACGAAAACCAACCTATGCAAACCGTGGGTTTGAACCAAAAAACTAGAAAACCATTGACTCAAAAACACATGGTTTCAAATCCCCAACCCATAAATTCAAACCGAAATACCAACCTATGCAAAAACCATGGGCTTGAACAAAAAAACTAGAAAACCATGAACCAAAAAACTCATAGTTTCAAACCGAAAACCTATAAACTCAAACCGAGAGAGTAACCTATGCAAAAACCGTCGGTTTAAACCAAAAAACTAGAAAATTGTGGACCCAAAAACTTACGGTTTCAAACCGAAAACCGATAAACTCAAACTGAAAAAATAACCTATGCAAAAACCGTGGGTTTGAACAAAAAAACTAGAAAATCGTGGACCCAAAAACTCACGGTTTCAAACCGAATACCCAAAAACTCAAACCGAAAAACCAATCTATGCAAAAACCGTAGGTTTGAAACAAAAAACTAGAAAACCATGGACCAAAAAACTTACAGTCTCCAACCGAAAACTCATAAACTCAAACAAAAAAACCAACCTATGAAAAAACCGTGTGTTTGAATCAAAAAAACTAGAAAACTGTAGACCCAAAAACTTACGGCTTCGAATCGAAAACCCATAAACTCAAACCAAAAAACTAACCTATGCAAAAACCGTGGATTTGAACCATAAAACTAGAAAACGTGGACACAAAAACTTACGGTTTTCAAACTGAAAATCAATAAATTCAAACCGAAAAACCAACTTATGAAAAAACGGTGGGTTTGAACCGAAAAACTAAAAAACCGTGGACCCAAAAACTTACAATTTCAAACTGAAAACTCATAAACTCAAACTGTAAATCCAACCATGCAAAATCCATGAGTTTGAACCAAAAAACTAGAAATACATGGACACAAAAACTTACGATTTCAAATCAAAAACTCGTAAACTCAAAACGAAAAACCAACCTATGCAAAAACCGTGAGTTTGAACCAAAAAACCAGAATACTATGGACCCAAAAACTCAAGGCTTCATACCGAAAACCCATAAACTCGAACCAAAAAACCAACCTATACAAAAAACATGGGTTTTAACCAAAAAACTAGAAAACCGTGGACTAATAAACTTACGGTTCCAAGCTGAAAACCCATAAACTCAAACCGAAAAACCAGCATATGCAAAAACCGAAGGTTAAACCAAAAAACTAGAAAACCATGGACAAATAAACTTACGTTTTCAAACCGAAAACCCATTAAACTCAAACCGAAAACCAATCCATGCAAAAACTGAATCCATATGGATTTTAAAACCAAAAAAACCGACTTTGTATGTTTGATTTGATTTAACCAAAAACCAACACATGCTCATTTGTAGATAGATGAATAAAAAGACTATATTAACGTCTTGCGATGGGTATGTAGGCAGGCCTATCGTCTTGAAACAAACGGAGTCGTGAGTCGTCCAAAAAAAAAAAAAAAAATTAGCCTACTTGATTTTTAAACCGCAACCCAAGTTTACTCAACTTGAGACTTTTTATTTCAGAAACCACATGGAAACCAAAATAAAGTAATAAGCTAATTATAATCGCATCCAAATAGTTTATATATTGGATCGTTTTAGAATACTAAATTAAAAATCCTCACAAACAAATGCATCTAGTGAACATTTTGAGTAATTAACTAAATGTATAAGCCTCTTCTTTACATCTCTTAGAAGTTAAAACTAGCAGAAATCATAATATTCAATATTTCGAAAACAAAATAACAAAGAATTTAACCAGAAAAAAATAGCGATTATGCGATGTTTTTATGACGAGAGGTGGACGACGACGAAGGCATGAAGGCGAATACAATGAGGCCACCCAATATGAAGATCGGAAGAAGCAACAGCATGAGCGGCGGCGGCGGTAGCGGCGGAAGTATCAACGGAAGTATCAGCAACGACGCCGTTAAACCTATCAACACCACCATTGATTCCAAACTGAAATAGCTGCTCCTGGTTTTCGATTTTGATATCACCGTCATCCTTCTTCCTCCAAAATTATTATTTGACGATGATCGGTCATCATACACCGCCGGCGCCGGCACCGCTTTCTTTCCCCCTTGTACCACCATTGTCGCACCACCGCTTTCATGAGCGCTCATCTTCATGTTCATTCTTCTCACTTCCATAACAACACTTGACTTTATCCCAATGTGATCGATCGATCTTCTCTATAGGAAAGGGTTATAACTTATAACTCTTCACGAACATGTACAGTATTTGCTTTTCGATCTACAAATTCTCGACCTGAAATCCATACACACAAGAGAGTTAGATCATAAAGTCACAACAATCTGAATGTAGAAACCACAGATTTTGAAACAATTAGCAATCGTTGAAACACAAAACTGATTACGATTCTAATCGCGAAAATTCTGAATCTAAAAATCTAAAAATCTAAAAATCCAAAACAAACGTAATTTAAGGAGAATTGATGAGAGAAAAACGCAAATACGTTGTGATTTAGTAATTGTACGAGAGATGATTTGAGGTTATAGAAGATTAATTACCTGATGAATTTGGTTGTGAAGATGAAGATCGGAATGTGGAAAAGGGAGATGTGAATTGTGAAATGTTTGAATGAAATTGAGATTAAAATCCATGGGAATAGGAATAGGAATAGGAATAGGAATAGGAATAGGGGTGGCGTGAGGTGGTCGGATTCAGTGAATTTGCGAGGACAAGTGGGGGTGGGTGGGGGCTGTTGCAGCGCAAGTAGTTTCCTCTTTTTGAAAGTCTGTGGGTGCGTTTTTCAAGACCGGGTGGGATTCTCAGTCTCTAGACAATCTCTTTGTTATCCGTCAAGTCTCAACCCTTTTTACCCATCACGCTACGTATACAATTTCACAATTTTTATTTTTTTCTCATCTAAGGATATCTTTCGGATTCGATTACTAATTACGAATCTACTTCAATAAATTATTGAATATATATGGTCATACAAAAACAAAAAACAATATTTGGATGTGATTTGAATCTGAATATTTATGAGAGGAAATGACAAAAATAGCAATTTTATAAAAATAAAAAAAATAACCTGATATTGCGAAACGATGATATGTCGTAGCAGGAAGGAGAATTTCACATGGTATAAGGATTTTTGAGAAATAGAAAGCGGTGACATTTTAAGCATTATCTTCATTTTGTAGTGTTTTATTTTGTTAGTTCTTTGTTAAAATCTTAGAAAATATAAGTTATTTGATTATTCTATATTTTTTGTAATCTGAAATTATATTAATTAATTTTTATGTGTTTTAAAAAGGTTAATTTTGTTCTTAATGTTTGGATATTTGTATAAATTAAAATAATTTAATTTTTCGAAATAGGTAATATTTAACAAAATTGATATTGAATGATATTTAGTCAGGGTGGGGTGGTTTGACGTTGGAAGCATAGTATACACACTTGGTTGGTTATCTAATCAGATATTATTACCAAATGGTTTTTAGACCAAGGATTTCTTACCTCTCCATCATAATTCATAACAAAGATCAACATCATGTATTCAAGTTTCCAAAAAGTTCTATAACATCTACCATGAATCATCATGGATAAACTATGGAGCTTAACTAGAAGAAAGAGAGAACACCTTAATCCGGTATATGGATTAAACCTTCGTAATTTCTCCATAAAATCAACGTCAAAACCCTAAAATTACCATTTGATAGTTTTGGAATTGATATAAGGAGAAAGTTCAAATAAATATGTCATCTTTCACAGGTTATGCGACGCGTGTCTGACTTGGATGCAACACATTGAGCTTAAGTTGTGTCGCATAGAGCAACAAACGCTTCGGGTTCTCCTTTTACCATAGCAATGTACCTTGAACGCTTCGTCTAAACTTGTAAAATGCCCCTTAGTTTAAAATTTTACATACGTAACCAAAATATTCAAATTTGTTGTGGTGTTACATACTATATACACTTATATTTTTTCCCCAAATGAGTTCTTTCATTCTCCTAAGTTTAACGCATGGACTCAAAATAACCTCCTTCACAGGATAAAAGATAATTCGTTTAAGGGATATAAGGTGTCAGAAAATGAAGGTTCTTGAACATAAAAGCTTTTTTAATGGACCAATCTTTATGTATTCATCCATGATGCATGTAAACAAAAAGCACATTTTCTTTTATTTTCATCTCTAACACATCTAGAAACTAACCTTGTACGTTCAATATGAATTACATACTAATCAGAACATACTTAATAAGGTATAGTTTCAATTGCTAAAAACTCTCATACTTTTCACCAACCTATGGTTTCATGAGATTATAATCTATGGTGTGATCATGAACAATAACTTCACCACTAATGTCATTCTCATCATCTTCAAGATGGTTATGTTCTCATCATCATAAAGATGTCCATAAATATCATCCAAAAACTTATATTGATCCTCACAAAGGGTTGTAAGAATGGATCCCCACAAGATGGGAAGTTGCACCTATGACTTCTCCCTTTTCATAATCCATGGATATACTTATCAAAAGCACCTCATCACCAAACTTGACTTTATAATTTGGATCATCGGTATTCAATTTCTTACCATTCTTCCTTAATTACCTTGTTTCATGATGACATCTTCTTATTCGATTTCAAATCTTAAACATGCTTATGGTTTGAGAGAGTTTAGCTTTGCTCTATACTTTCACCCATGCATACATACATACATATATATATATATATATATATATATATATATATATATGCTTTTGAGTGTTGGATTCTACCTTATATACATACGTATATATGTTTTTTATTTAAAGATTCATGTTAGCAATGAGTTACTAGTTGGTAATTTTGAAACCGGTTCTCTAAAGAAAATAATAAAAAAATGATGGGCTTAATTTGGTAAAACTAAAAGTTTTGGCTTAAACAAGAAAACTAAAAAAGTATTATGTCTTGATTGAAATTAAATTATATATTTGTTAACCATAGTTGTTAAGATTCCGATCTTGATCTTAAGATTTTACGATTTTAAGATCCATCAAGCCAAAAACGATATCGATCTCACTAGGATCTTAAAATCTTAATACGATCTGACCCCGCATCTCTAGTTTTATGGTGGTTGTTGAAGCTAACAAAATAAATAACCCTAAATCTTTTATACTAAAATACTGTATAGTGGTAAAATGGTCGAATCCATGGAGATTGGTTCAATTTTATAATTCTATGTAAAATCTCTTTGCAAAAGTACTTGTAAAATGATAATAAAACTAAAAATGGGGGTTTTAGTCTTTTAAATACTTGAAATAAAATTAGGATTAAACTAAGATTTAAATGGATAATTCAACAAAAATAAGACTTGTATGTAAAATCAATAAGAGAAAGATGGTCGACGTAAAGTTTTCTTACTTTGACTTTTGATGAACATATCATTAGAATCCAATGGTGCAATACTTGTTTTAAATCCTTAATTGGGCTATAGTAATCCAATAAGTTTTAATCACTTAGACTTTTCTTAGTTGTTAAAATGATTAGAGAAGCTCATAACAATTTCCTTAGTCAAAGTCACAATTTCCATTAAGCATGTAATTAGTGAAAGTCAACTAGCATTAAGAACCAAAAAGTCACCAAATCCAAGAGGAGTCAAATACTTTCACTACCATGTTGGAGAAAATGTTTTTATGATTGTGTGAAGCAAAACTAACATAAAAATCATTTGTTTCTTGCTAATTTTAGGATCATTTACTTAATCAAGAAATTAGCCAACTAATCACCACAAACACATTTAAACTCATGAATAAAAAACCAAACAAGTAGTGATGAGATGTTAAAACATAAAACATTCTCATAAAGATTCAAAACTAGTTCATGGAGTCTTAAACATTCAACAAAAGTTCAAAGGATTCCACAAAATTCAACCAAGTTTTGTTTAGCCAAGCATGGTTAAACTCAAGAAAACAAAGTTAGAAAAGACTATACCAAACATTCAACAAGATCAAGAGGTGAAAAGATGAAGCTCTTCAAGGTTCTTGGCCTTCAAAATGCTCCAAAATCTCTAGAGAATTGTTGATTTTTCGTACATGCAAGAGTCTCCAAAAGATGGGCACCAACCTTCCTCAAATAGCCTTCCAATTAAAATTCCATAAAATACCCTTGCAGGGCCTTATGCGACACGCATGTTGTTGCGCGGGTAGCCTGCATCCTGAGTTGTGTTCTTTTGTAATTTGGGCTCTTTTGTGATTTGGGCCTTCAATGACTTAGCCCGTGTAACATCCCAAAATTAAAGGCCAAAAAATTCATTTTTAAATAAGTTATTATGAAACCATAAGTAATAAAACATCCATAACAACATCTCATGTCAAAACCAAAGTGTCAATAGTCAAACATGTTATCATGAAATAATATCAGAGTGTAACCCCAAAGAACTTATGTGTGGAAAACTTAGTGTGATGCACTGCGATCAAGCCGATTCCTTTCCTTTGAAAACGAGTACCTGAAACTAAAACTGAAAACCATAAGCACAAAGCTTAGTGCGTTCCCCCATCATACCACACACCATACACTCATACATACTATCAGGCAATTATGGGGTGCCCGACCTTCCCATGTCAAGCCATTCTGGGGTGCTGACCCACACATGTCAAGCCATTCTGGGGTGCCGACTTACCCGTGTCAGGCCATTCTGGGGTGCATGCCTACCCACCAGTCTATCTCACCCGGTTGTGGGGACTATCTCACCCCTCCCACTATCACATAATAACATATCATAATCATGTTGTCAGACATATTTGGGGTGTCCGACCTACCCTTCAATCCTAATGACCGAATCGGGGGATTATTCCCCTCCTACTACCACTATCACATAGAGCATATCATATCGGCACATAGAACACAACAGGTAGTAGCAAACCAGACAATTATCACAAATATAATCATCTCAACTCTGATAACTACTAGTGTGTCGGCCTTGGTGCCTTAGACCCACTTCTATTGGAAGGTAACTCACCTCACACTGATGAAGTCCGGCAGACCCAACCCCAGCTGTTGGATGACAGGTTCCCGAACTGTCAACATCAAAATAAAACCCAATTAATAATTGGGTTCCAATACATAATCATAAGTACATGCTTGGGGTATAAGACTGTTTTACCCCAATCTTAGCTTGATC